TTTTATTGAAAATTAATAATTATTAATATTTTGCGCTATTTCTTGTTGCTTTGTTCTTGGCAAAAAAAAAAAATATAAAATAAAATAAAGTCAATCAAAATTATAAAAATCATAAAATTAAACATAAATATAATGAGTAATAAACATAATCGTTAAAAGAAATCAAATCGAAAGAAAATTTTTTGAAAGAGAAACAAAAATTATAAAAATCAATCGAAACACAATTTCAATACACAAAGTTCTCTTCATAAACATTATATATTAGATACGCATATATCTACATATATGTGCCGGCTAGGGTCTGTGTGTGTGTGTGTGTGTGCGCGTGTGTGTGTGTGTAGGGCAATGACAGAGTATACAAGAAATTATAAATTTAAATCATAAATAAATACATAAAATATTCAAAGTTTTTTAACATAAATCATGAAAGAGAAATTCAATTTTGCAATGTTGAAAAACGCCGCAGCAAATGTAAAGCTGTGTGTGTGTGTGAGAGAGAGAGAGAGACAGAGACTGAAGAGCAGCTTAAGCTGATCTGGCAATGCTGCCGCTGCTGTCAGTGTATGTGTGTGTGTGTGTGTGTGTGTGCACTGCGCTCTCTTTATATTTTGTGTATTCTCTTCTTTTCGTTCAAATTAAAAGAATTCATTTGCATTTGAATTTAAATTAATTATAAAATACAATAAATAATATTCATGTTATTCTGCTTTTTGTTTCTGTTGTTGTTTTTTTTTTTAGGCTTAAAGTTTACGAAAAAAATTATGTTTATATATATATATATATAATAGTTATATATAAATAGATATATCAAATTTGCTTAAATACGAAAAATTACACGAAAAAATAATTGTTATATATTGTTGTTGTATAATAATATTAATATATTTTAAGTTACATAAACATAAATGTTTCTTTCGCTTCAACTACTCAATTTGCGTTTCATTTACTTTTTTTTTTTTTTTTTGGTTTTTTTTTAAGTTTTTTCTTTTTTGTTGTTTTTCACTTAAGGAAATTATAATTGTAATTAAGCTGAGATGCATGTTTTGTTGTTGTTGTTGTTGTTGCTGCTGCTGCATTTTAAAACTATTGCACAATATTAGAATTACATAATTAATAAATGTTCGAAAAATTAAATAAAATACAAATTATAAATAAAGTTCATTAAGGTTTGACAAATAAATTAAACAAAATCAAGTACATCATTTCCACTTAATGTTTAAAGTTTGTTTGCTTTCAGTTGCTTTTCTTTTCTGCTCTTTAGCTATACGAATACATATACATATACATATACATGTACATATACATGTACATGTCCATACACATACATAAAACTAGCAAGAATTATTGCAAATTTTGAGCGCAGCCTGCAAAAGGCAAAAGAATCGAACGCAGCCGGCGCTCGCTCTCTGCGCTCTCTCACGCGCTGCGCTGCTCGCTCTCTCGCGCGCTCTTTTGCGTTTTGCGCTCTCGCGCTACTTTTTCGTTACAGTTACGTGGTGGGGGGCTGGGGAGGGGGGCATAATACATAATATACGTTCAGTTTTTGTATACATATAAAGTATAAAGAAAATAAATCTTTGGATATTTCGATATTACAAAAAAAACAGAAAAAAATTATATATATATATATAAAGAGAGAGAAGACTATTAAATAAATTATAATTTCGTTTCGTGTACATGTGTGTGTGTGTGTGTGTGTGTGAAAAAAATTGAAAATGTTCAAGACAGTTTTGTTGTTGTTGTTTTTGGGTATTTAGGCTGTCGCGTTCAATTTTGCTATGCTTAAATTTTAGCTAGATTTTAAATTTTTATAGTATTGATTTTTTTTTTTTTTGTTTTTTTTTGAAGGGTGGCAACTTCGTGTAGACATTTTGTTGCTTTTAGGATCTGCTGCTTCTTGCAACTGCTAATTGAGAGTAAACTCTTTGCTATATGTTAGTTAATGGTATATTTAATTAGAATATAATATATAAATTTGCTTTATTCGTATTGTATATTGAAAATATTTTATTAATATTTTGTTTGCGATTGTTTGCATTTGTTTGCTTTTTGCCTACGTTTTCGACTTGTTTTTGTTTTCATGTTTTTCTTGTTTTTCTTGTTTTTTGTTTATCGCATCTGCCTCTTCTACTCTTCTTCTGCTAGCTTAGTTTGCTGACTAGATTTCTTGTTGCAAATTTTGTTCAAACAAAAAAATTGTTCTCGTTTAACCTATAATTATGAAAAAAAAAAAAAATAAAATTAAATTAAATAAAAATTAATTATTAATATTGTTTATACATAAGCTTTTCTTGCCCTCTGTTGTTAAGCATTTTCATAATTATACTTTTGCTTTTTGCTAAGGATCTTGTTCTTTAAGGTTCTTCTCTGTGTATGTGTGTGTGTGTGTGTGTGTGTGTGTGTTTGAACTTAAACAATTGACATAAATTAATTGTTACTAGACGCATTGCAGCTACTATAAAGATCAAAATCATTATCAAAATGAATAGACATAGATAAGTTTGGTTTTTCGTACATAATAATGAAAGCAGAAACATGTTTTATAAGTCTCTCGTTTGTTTAAATATACATTAAATAAATATGCATGGCTCTAATAAACTACGAGCGCACTTTATGTTATTGTTGTTGTTGTTGTTGTTGTTGTTGTTGTTGTAAGTATTGTTAAGGAAACAAAGAAATCATACAAAACGCATAGAGGAGTTGTTTATACCAAAATCGAATTGAAACATAAACTTTTGCAATATCTAAAATTGTAATTCGCAAAATCAAGCCAAAGATAATTAAATTGTAACTCAGATAAAACGCAAAACGAAATTTCACAAATTTCTATTGTGGGGCGGGGGTGGAGAGAAAGAGGGTATATTATTGTTGTTGTTGTTGTTCGGGACAACAGCCATTAAGCATGGGTATAATTGCTAATTATTGATGTGGTCTATATATTACCCAATACTCTCGAGGCCACTGTAAATGCTGTGCTGTACGGTGCTATATATACACTACTGTACGGTACTTTGCGGCACTGTACTCAATGGCTGGCACGCTACTGTATGCAGCGGCAAGCGTTTCGCCTGTGGGCGGGCAGCTTGTCTGCTTGGCATGCCGCTGTATACAGTGGTGTGCCATATTATTGTGTACAGTGCGTGTTTCTCGCTTGTTTCTAGACAGCGGGCAAAAACCATCGACTTAAATGGTTCGTTTTTACATTTACTGCGTGTTTCTTACTTTCTTTTTTGTTTTTTTGTTTTTAAAGAGTTAACTTCTTTTTTTGTTTTAAATTTTTAACAAAAAGTTCACTTACATGGCTAGAAAAACGCTTTGCTAATGATTAGTTTTTGTTTTTGTTTTTGCGGTTTTGTCATTTCTTGTCAAACTTTTTGCCATATAAAAAATGTTGTTCTTCTTGTTTAGTACTGAGTTTTTAGTTTGTTTTGTTTTTGTGCTACGCTTGCTTCTTCTTTTATATGTTTAACGCTAAAAATATTAGCAATTGGTTACTTGCTGGCTTGAACTATACATTATATAAAGTATATAAGGTATATATGCGTGTATATATAGACATACATATATAGACATACATATATATATATATATATATATATATATCTATGTATATATACATATATGCGTATGTATAAATATTATAGTATAAGATTCACTAACAATTATTTACTTTAGTAAAACGTTTCAAATTTGCGCATAAATTATTGTATTACTTTTGCGTTTTCTTCTTCTCTTTGCTTTCTAACTTCGTTCTAACCTTACTTTTTTTTTTGTCGCTGTTGCACACTTGTCCCGAAATTTCTAGCTGCGTGTGTGTGTGTGTGTGAGAGAGATAGAGATAGATAGAGAGAGAGAGCGAGAGTCGGCCGTTAGTTTTGTTGCTTTCGCTTGGCTTTCGTTAAGTTAAAGTTATAAAAAAAAACAAACACAAAACATTAAAATATATATACCACACACACACACACACACACATGCATATATATATATATATATATGTGTGTGTGTGTGTGTGTAGGTAGTGTATATATAATTCGTTTCGTTTTCTTATTGTTTTTTTTGTTTTTGTTAATACTGTAGCAGCCTCCTTGTGTTTTTTTTTTTGTTTTTTCGTTTTTAAATACTTTTTGTCAGCCTCAGACAAAAAAAAACTAACGTCCCCGACTCTACACTGCGAGAAAAGTTGCGGGTTTTTTCTTTCACACATTTTCATTTTTGTTTTTGTTTTTTTTTTTTGTTTTTGTAGAAAAATTGGAGTGTAATTAACAGCTTTTGGTTTGTTGTTGTTATGTTTTTTTTTTGTTTTTTTTTTTTTTGTGTGTTTTGTTTCGCATTTTGTTACTGGAAGATTTCATTGCTGCTTACTTAGTTATAATTTTAAAAATTGTTTATCTCCTTTTGCTAGGTTAATTTCTTTTAATTAAATCTTAGTTTTTTTTTTTGTTTTTGGTTTTTTTTTGTGATTTTTCTCTTAGTTGTTTTGTTGATTTCTTTGTTTACTTTTGCGGCTAATTCGACTGCGGCTCGTCCCTGCTCGGGCGCTCAAAAAAGGCCGTCAGTTGCTTTCTCTTCTTCTTCTTCCTCTTCTATTTGTTTAAATATTGCATTCGACACGTATGTTTTTTTTTTTTTAAGTTTAGTTTAGTTAAGTTTAGCTTTCATTTTGTTTTGTTTTGTTTCGAGTTTTACTTAAATGCTAAACAAGAATTTTGCTATTGCAACGGCCGGCATTTTGGGCCGTCGTTTCGTTGTTTAGACGCGATTTGAAGCCAGACGACACGCCCCGCAAAGGGGATGCATGCCTTTGTGTACTGTGTGTAGGTGTGTGTGTGTAGGTGTGTGTGTGTGTGTTTGTGAGGGTGTGTGTGTGTTATACACAGGCATTGTTGTTGCGCTTAGTTATCGTTAGACCATGCATATTTATATATGTATAAGTGACTTGTTCAGGTGTCTCTGTGTGTGTGTGTGTGTGTGTGTGTGAGTGTATAAACTAGATAAGTATGTGTGTGTGTGTGTGTGTGTGTGTGTGTAGTTGCACTCCAGCTGGCTGCTCCTTGGTGTTTGTTGTTGTTGTTGTTGTTGTTAGCGTTCCGTTTTGGCCCCGACTTAGAGACACAAACACAGCTTACTTGGCCTTGTTGGTCTTGAAGCTGACCTGCAGCACGCGATTGCCCATGGTGTAGCCATTGAGGGCCCGTATGGCCATGGCGGCCTCGTCGTAGTTGGTCATGGAGACGAAGCCGTAGCCTTTGCACTGATTCGTTGTGGGATCCTTGACGATCTTGACGGATTGTACAGCGCCGAAGGGGCCGAACAGCTGCCAGAGCGCCGCCTCCTCCGTTTCGGGCGCCAGATTGTATATGAATATGGGATATGCGCCGCCGGGTCCGCTCGCAAGCGTTGTCGCCGCCGCCGCTGCGGCGCCGAGACCATTCGGCAGCATCACGTCCAGCATATCGCCGGCCATCGGTGAGAAGCGTGCCAGGCCCTTGTTGACGGGCGTGTGCATCGCGCCGCCAATTCGCCGCACCAGCTGCGGATTGAGGAATGCGGGCAGTTGCGGCTGGATGATCTTGCTGGTGCTGCCGGGCGTATTTGAGAACTTCACCACAATCGGATCGGTGCAGCTGCTGGGCGTGGTGCCATTCAAGGCAATAATCGCACGGGTTGCCTCCTCCCGCTTATCGAACCGTATAAAGCCGACGCCCTTGGTCTGCGTATCGTTGCCGGCATTTTGGAGGATGCGCGACGTTATGATGGCGCCGAATGGCGCAAATATGGCCTCCAGCTCCTGCTGGGTCATCGTCTTGGGCAGGCCCGATACATACAGATTGGCGCCCTTGATGGCATCCGACGAGGGTCGCGCGAACGACACCTTAATCGTTTTATTCTGCAGCCGCAGTCCATTCAGGACATTGACCGCCTGCTCCGCATCCTGCGGACGCACATAGTTGACAAACCCATAGCCCAGACTCTGGCCCTTGCTGGGCGCCTGCGGATTCAGCGGATCTATGTACACCTGCGATTTGTCGCGTATCAGCTTGACCGACTCGATTTCGCCAACGCTGCTAAAGAGCGAGCGTATCTCGTCCTCCGTCATGGTCTGTGGCAAATAGTTGACAATCAGATTTGTGCGCGTCTCTGTGCTGCCATTGCTGCCGTTCTGTGCGCCGCCCGAGTTGCCGTTCGTGTTGGCCTGTTGCACCTGCTGTTGCACCTGCTGTTGCACCTGCTGCTGCACGACCTGCTGCTGCTGCACGACCTGCTGCTGCTGCTGCTGCTGCTGCTGTTGCTGTTGCTGCTGTTGTTGCTGCTGCTGTTGCTGCTGCACGGCAACAACTGCCTGCTGCACTTGCTGCACTTGCTGCTGCTGCACAACCTGCTGCTGCTGCTGTTGCTGCTGCTGCACAACGGCCTGCTGGACAACGGCCTGCTGCTGCTGCTGCAGTTGCTGCGTGACGGCCGCGGCCGCTGCGGCGACCGCTTGCTGTGTCTGCTGCTGCTGCACTTGCAGTATCGCCTGCTGCACCTGCTGCTGCTGCTGCTGCAGCTGGGCGGCGGCGGCCACGGCCGCTGCATTCTGCACGGGCGCAGCCGCATTTGTTGCGGCAACAGCAGCCGCCGCGGCAGCGCTCTGCATTAGCTGCGCCTGTGTATCCACGCCGGTGGCGCCCGTGTTAGCCATCATAAAGTCCACTAAATAGGCGTCAATTGCAATTTGAATGTTGTTGTTGTCGTCGGAGGAGGAGGAGCAGGAGACCAACGTAGGCGCAGCACATGGAAAATGAAAAGGATTAAATGTCAAGATTAAACCATTTGCCAAGTGTGTTAGTAGTTAGTTAGTTACAATTAAATACAACTAGCTCCGCATTCAAATAATGGGATTGGGCATAAACACTTAAGCTTACGTTCTCTTCTCTATACCCTAAAAGCGGGCATATCTGTGCCTCCGTCTGTGTGAACACACATTCCTGCAGCAAACCCTCGAAAAAGCCAGCGAGAATATATTTATATATATTCTCGTATTCCCTACACAGAATGAGTTTATCGTTTCTTCTCGATACCCTACCACCCCAGGTTTTATAATTTCTTGTCGATATTTGCTACCACTTCCAACATATCGATAAATATCGATTTTTTGAGACATGTTTTTCTCAGGTATTTATATGGTTGGTTTTATATGGTGGTATATGCTGATTGAGAACATTTCAAGTTTTGAATATCTCACAAAATGTACCACATCATTTAACAACTTTGATATACTCATAGAGTTTGGGCCTATAAAGTTTCATAAGGATCGGACTGTAAGCACCGAAGCAATATACTCAAGACCCTTTTCTATAGGCTGGGCTAAGAAGAAGCACTGCACACATATTTCTTTATATATATACATATGTCCAGAAGCTTCAAATGCTTTTAATAACAGCTCGCTGCCGTGTTTAAGGTATCTGCTAGTCGCCTAGCTTATGAAGCTGATTTGCCACACTCTGTTGCAGCTTTCTCCAGATCAAACTTTGTCATATATTATCGAAAACACTCTCAAAAATTGATATCTGGTGTGAAAAGGAACCTTTTAATTTTCCAAGAAGCTTAATTTCGATTAAAATACTTTGTTAAAAACTCATCAAACTCGAATAACTAAGTAATAATTCACTCAAGACTTCACTAAGTATAAAAAACTTGTGAGAAATTCGACACAAATTTTAAGGTTTGCCACAAAACTAATCCAAAAAAAATGAAACACTAGGCACATTGTTAGAATTATACGCAAATCTGCAAGGGTATTAAATCTTCGGCGAGCCAAAGTTATTGTTATTCATTTACATTAAGTTTCGCTAAGTTTAGTTAACGCTGAAAGATTAGCTGAGCATTTGCACAGTGGCGCCGCCCTGCGGTCCACTTCAGCGGCAAACTTTCGTTCAAACTTACTTACACACACACACACAAAGAGAGTGAGAGAGAGAGAGAGAGAGAGAGACAGGCAGAGACTGTGCAGGAACGAGAGCGGGCGGATAAGAGAGTGATTTTAATCTCAGGCACAGACAAATATGCACATTAAACACACAGTCACTGGCATGGACACAGACACATAAGGAGGCTCATAGACACACTAACACACCTCTAGAGCTGCGCGTGGGAGGAGGCCAGAGAGCGTTTGTGTTGGTGTTGGAGAGTTCTTTTTTTTTTTTTTTTGTGTTGCGCTGAGCTTTTTTGGAATTGCCGTTGCCGTTGCCGTTGCCTTTGCCGCTGCGAGACCCGCTACGTCGCAAGCACGCGATGCTACTGAGCGCAGGTCCTTGCAAGGCTTTCGTGCCATGCTGGCGTTAGCGTCTCTCGTCCTGTAACCGCTCCTGTTCCGGCTGTCGTTAACATTGCTGCTGCTGCTGTTGTTGTTGGAAGTTGTAACAAAGCACGTAAACGGCCAAACCCAGTTATGTAATACATATATACAGGCACACATACATAAACAGACACGCACAGCGGCAGGCAACGAACTCTACACGCAGCAGCAGCAGCAGCCGCCGCAGCAGCAGCAGCAGGGCATACTCCTTATGAAAAAAAGCGGTAAGGCAACAAAAAGAAATTGAAAACTAAAAATGAGCATCCGCCGTGAAGCGTGCGCCCATCCAAAATCGAGCTAACCCACCCGCCCAGTGTATATATATATGTGTGTGTGTGTGTGTGTGTGCAACGGCGAAACGTAGCAACCCTTAAAACCAAAAACAAGTTATAATATTGCTTTTGCAAAAATTACTCACACACACACACATACAAATGCAGTGCATACAACAATACGTAAGCTGGGCTCGCCTGAGGGTTAAATACAGCCGCGGCAAGAACAATGCCACCCCCTTTGTCTTAACAAACAAATCGGCATGTGCGTGTTGCCGTTTTCAACAGTCTGGCAACGCTGCGGCAACGGCTGCTGCATGATCTGTGAACTTGCACTTTGGGTGGTTGCTGTTGGCAGCGTCTCTCGCGCGACACATACAAGTCAAAAGGTCAAACAAAAACTAACATTCGCACACGACACACACACGACACACACACACGCATGCTAACATAGGCCGATACATATTTGCACGCCCACAAGCCAAAAAGCAGAGCGCATAGTCTCTCTTCTCAATTTCCATGACAACTGAGATTTCAAAATGTCTGGAATGACCGACCGCTCATCCTTTTCCTTTCCACGCACACACACAAACGCTCGCTCGCTCACTTACACACACACGCACACACACACACAGACACCGTATACAGTTATATATGCATTTGTTTAAATACTCACTTGTTTCGATTAAAATGTTGCTATTTTGTGTTTGCCAAACAAATTTGATTTGATTTCTTGACGCGCGCGCGCTCTACACGGCGCTGATTCTTTTGATTTCCTCCTTCTCACCTCCTGCTGCTCACCTTGATTAGTTAGCAGTCTGCCGGACAACGGGTTTCCCTCACTATGTCCAGGATATGTCCTTTATTTGCGTTTTCTTTTTAATGTTGGCTATAATTGCGGCTATTTTGTTGCTAATAATTAAACAAACGCTGCTGTTGTATCGTCGTCGTCGTCGTCGTCGTCGTTGTTGTTGTTGTCGTCTATTGTTGTATGGAAAAAAAAGAGTATAGATAAGAACAAAAACAAAAAAAAAAGCGGTAAATTTAACTGCACACGTCTTTGCCATTGAGCGTTGGTGTTATCGTATTTATCGATTTTATCGATTTTTCCCAAAAAACCAAGTAGCAGCACTTACAACAACAACAACAACAACAGCGAAAAAGGAATAGATTTTTACCGAATTCTGCGCACATGCACGCACACGCACACGCACACACATGTGTGTGCGTATTTATGCACACATGTATTCAAATTCATATATTACTATTTAAAACAAATCAACGCAAACGTTTTGTTACACAATTTCGGACTATGTGTATGTGTGTTGTTGTTGTTGTTTTAATTTTGCGTTTGTTTTCTTTTTGTTTTTGTTTTTTTTTTCAATACTGATGATTATAACAGTATCTCTCAGTTTCTGCTGCGCCTCTGCCACTGTGCTAATTTATTGCGAGCGCCATTGGGAAGAGAGCGGAGCGAGCACCCACCGCCTTCGCTCTTGCTCCCTTTGGCCATACAATGTATGGCAGTTCCCTGCATTGTTGTTGTTTTTCTTCTTTTTTTTTATATTTTGTTGTTGTTTATGTGTATATATTTTAACTAGCGCGCATATTTTACCACCCATACATATGAATATGCATACATGTTTGCAAACACACACACACACACACACAGACACATACACACACCCGCTCACACACCGACGCACTTAGTATCTATAAGTTTTTTGTTGTTGCTAGACGACGCGCTTATTAAATTAAAACACGCGCTGCTTTTGTTATTGTTGTTCTTGCTTAATTTAAAAACAAAAAGTATAGATTTATTCACTGCTGCAGCGTTTGTTATTACTGTTTGCCGTTGAATTGTTCTAATTTGTATTTCCGCGCAATTCTCTCCGTATTCCCCGAACTACATTTTGTTTAGCTCAGAGTGTTGCTGTGGCAACAAAACACTACATTGTGCCAGCTAATGCTACTACTATTACCACTTTGGCATAAACAGAACTTAAACAATAGCTAACGTTTTGTTTGCAGTTTACTAATTTATTTATGGCAACCGGCGTTTTGTTTACTATCTTCAGCAGGCGTTCTCAGACACTACAGTTAAATCAAAAGCGAGCTCTTACGATAAGAGTCTACTACTATTTGCCGCTGGTGTTGTAGTTGTAGTCGTCGGTTGTCGGCGTACAATGCTCCTTCCACATAAAATCGATATGCTAGCTGCGCCCTTTTTGCCACTCACACAGCTACACAGGCAGACAGCAGCAGCGTACACACACACACACACACACACACACACATAGCGCCCGCTTTACAGATACACAGCACAGAAAGACAGAGTGAGAGAGAGGTAGCACGCTGCGGCAGCAGTGCGGCATTTAGCAGTAGATTTTAACGCACAACAACTATAACTACTACGACAGTTACTACTACAACGGCTTCTACTACTGCCACTACTACTACTTTTTGTCTAGTTGCCCAGCACCGCCTTCCAGCCCTCTCGGTACCGATCGTTTGCCTCTTCGCCTCTCTTTTGAGTTTGTTGAACTGTTTGGCGCTGCCGTTTGTAGTCTTTGCGTCTTGTCTACGTTTTTCCATACCCATTGCATATTGTAATTTTGCGTTTTAGCATACATGTATCAAATTGTTCCATACACACACACATACAGACACACACACACAGGTACACACACTTAAAAGCAACAACAAAAAATACACAAGTATGTATATGTATGCATGTGTATAATTGCACAATTATGCACCGCGTAGCGATCGTTTGGCAATTTTCGTAGCATTTTTTTTTGTTGTTGTAGCGTTTTGTTGTTGTCGTTGTTATACGTTACGCTTACGTTTTGTTGCGGCTGCTACTGTTGTTGTTTTTGATGATATTGTTGGTGGTTTTTGTTGTTGTTCTTGCACTTTACGTAGTTTTCTATGGCAATGCGTATATTTGATTTTAACAATTGTAAACTTTTGTCGTCGGTGTTTTCATTACTTTTTTTTTTCAAAAAAAAAATAAAAAAATCAATTGCAAAATGAGCTGAGCACACGAGCTGAGGCAGCGCACACGAGCGTTCAAACGTACTGCGGCGTACAACGTCTAGCGTGGAAATGAAAATGACGCGAATGCGAACGCAAACACAAACCTTGCTACCCTCAACGAGAATATATACACACGCATACGTTACGTATGTGCATGTGTCGATTGCTATGAGGCGAGCAAGAGAGAGGGAGAGCCACCAGAATACGTGAGCGAGGGAGAGCGAGAGCAAGCGAGTGGAAGCACATTCGTTTTGTTGACCAGCCGTTGTTGTTTTGTTGTTGTTGTTGCTGCTGCTGCTGCTGTTTTTCCTGCTTTGTTTTCGTATGCTCAATGCGAGTTTTCTCTCTGAATGCACTCTCTCTCTCTCTCTCTCAGGTAATCGGCTCCTGCCTCTGTGGCAAATCGACTCTGACTTCGTTAAACCGGGTGGGTGATCTGCTATAGAGAATCTCCTTTTGATACGAATAACTGAGCCCACTAGTTGTTTAATCAAATAAACTTTTACTGTAACAAAATATACATATGTACGTACATTTTATTTAGAGCGGCATTTTAAATTTGAGAGCCATGACTAGCTAGATAATTAAAGACACATATTTGTGAATATATAAATTTCAAAATGGCTGCTGTTCGTATTCATGGAGCTGTCATTCCAGCAGCCTGGAATTATGTGTGCCCATGCCAGCAAGCATGTCTGTCATACAGCTCGATCAAACAAACGCCCACAAGCAGTATGAACAAAAGTGTTGCCAGAATGTTGCAAACGTGATCGTTGTGAACGGCGAAATTGCGCTTAACTTTTAATTTGAAAATAAAATATAAAACATACAGAATATGAATTTTGGTAATTCACAGTTTGTGCTTTATAGATATGAGGTCGTCAACCGTTTTATGATGCTGTTTCTATGCTGGCAATCGCTCTCTTTTCACTCTCTTCGCATGCATATTATCCTTGCCAGGCGCGAGGGCTGTTTGGCGTGTTTGTGTGAGTGTGTGCGTGTGTGTGTTTTGCACTGCAACCACCAACGCCAGGGTTGTTTTCAGTACAGCGTACACCCCCTACAGCCAGCCCAACTTGAAGCCAAGCGCCTGTCTAGCGAGTGTTTCGGACTTGGGCAGGGTTTGCGGCATGCGTGCGTGCGTGTGCTTAATTGCGCTTGTATTCACCATGTACGTATGTGTGTGTGTGTGTGTGTGTCTGTGTGTATGTACGCTTCCTGTTCTGTGCTGCCCACCGGTTTCCATGTGCTGATTTTTATGGCACAACATTACAAATGTGCCGCCGCGTGTCTGTTCCAATTTACACGCAGTGAACACATTGTTATTGTTGTTTTTGTTGTTGCTACTCGCAAAAACATAAAAATGTAACTCAACTTTTTGCGCTGGGGTGGTTTTTGGGTTCTTTGTTTTGGAAAGAGAGAGATTTGGGTTGCCAGACGGTCAGCCGTTGCCGAAGGGGGTGGCCAGACGAGACAGATCGGCGGCGCGCAAGTGTTTGCGCGTTGCCATATCCTGTGCCAGATAAGCATAATTTATGCACGCTAGTATTTGTGTATATATGTGTGCATGTAGGTATGTATGTCTGTGTGTATTTATGTATATACGTGTGCATTAATAAATGCATGTTTGTGCACATACATACATACATATATACATGCATATGCATATATGTATGTATATTCTATACTCATGTACAGTGAAAGCTGGCACCGCTTTTACTGTAAATAGACACAAGCATATATGTATAATGTATATAAACATATGTATTTAACTATTTATTTGCATGGCGATAAGTACTTGTGATAATAATTAATTTGCGCCAACTTTTGTTTTTGCTGACGCATGCTGCTCACATGCGCGCGTGTGTGTGTGTGTGTGTGTGTGTGTGTGTGTGTGGACGCTGTGTGGCCAGGCCACGTGCTTGGAGCTCGAACTCTCACTCGCTCTCCCTCTCCCCCCCCTCTCTCTCTCTATCTGTGTCCATCACAATCACTGTGAGCGCCACGCAGTATGCAACACATTTCCCGCAGTGCTGCCAGATTTTAGCAATTCGAAATGGTCATCGACATGGTCCTGGGGATAATTAAAAAAAGGACGCGTGCAGGGGAATGGGCATGGGCATGGGAATGGGAATGGGCACGGGAGCATGCTTAATCCTTTGGCTCTGGCGAAAACAAAGCGCATTGTGCCAGCACCTTGGCCGCATTACGAAAAAAGCCGGATTAAAATAGCAGCCAAAGCAAGTTGACAGCAACAACAGCAACAACAATATGAAGGCACACTTTTGGGGGTTGCAGCAAAACTGGGCAAACTGGGCGCACCCTTAAGCGATTTTCATTTGCCAATGTATTTTGAATAAACAAAAACTAGAAAGTAAAAAGAAAAAAACAACAACAGCATTGACTGCACCAATGTCTCGTGCAGAAGAAAGGCTAGAAAACAGCCGCAGGATCAGAGTAGTCGGAGCGGTCGGACTGGTCATGATTCAACCCCCTCCTCCCCGGATGCGAGCTGCCTTGAGGCGGCACATTCACATTTACATTTACATTTACATTTACAGAAGGGTCCTTCGGGGCGCTTTCAACTTTGCACGTCTCGCTGCACAACGATCGACAGATGCACTTTTTCCCGAAACTAATAATAATAATAATCATAAAAATTACCATAAGACACTGAGAGCGAAGCCCCGATCGTTGAGGGTGAGAGTCAGAGAGAGAGGGAGAGGGAGAGAGAGAGAGGGACGCAGGATACGCTGCTGTGCCATTTTAATTGTGGCATGTGTTTCCGTTGTTCTCCATATTGCTGGCTTTTCTCTTCCTCCCTCTCTCTCTCTCTCTTTCTCTCTCTCTCTCTCTCTCTCTCTCTCTCTCTGTCTGTTGCCTTTGGCACAGTTCAGTGCTCAATGTAGAGTCCTGACGCTGGGTCACGGCTGTAAGCGGCCACCTGGCCTACTAATCAGCATCTGAGCTGACAATCACATGCATTTGCAGTAGTCGCTGATTGATTGAATAGTTCAGAGCAAGGGATTTCTAGCTTTATATGCATAAGTCGCTCTAACATAACCTCAAAAGCAGCATTCTCACTTACAGCTTTGACCTAACCTCAATATGCTCATGCTATTTGAACATAACCTCAAAATGCAGCGCTTATTGGACTTCGGGCGCTTTCCAACTGTTAACTGCGCTCAGTTTTCAGCTTGTGTAACTCACTTGAATGCGACCTAACCTCAAAATAGTCACAGCAGCTCCAACATAACCTCCAAATGTTGCGCTTGTTGGGCTTCACATGCCCCAACTAGATCAGTTCCTGTCCCTCGCTCTCTCTCTCTCTCTCTCTTTCGTTCACTCATTCTCACGCTTTTCTATTTTGTGACTCATTTCAGTTTGCCGAAGGATCAATTGGTTTACATTGGCTTGAGGGACATTGACCCCTATGAGGCGTTTATATTGAATAAATTCGGAATACGCTACTATGCCATGGATGTAAGTACACACACACACACGCACACTCGCACACACACACTGGCGATCGTTGTGCGTTCTTTTGTGGCTGCTTTGTGCGGCAGTTGTAAGAATTGTAAAATTCCGGTTTTTGGGCAGCAAAAGGATCAAATGACGATCGTGCGTGACAGCCTCAACAGAATTCCAGACACACACATACAGCATATCCGGGCGTGCGTGTGCGTCTCTGTGTGTGTGCGCGTTGTAAATGTAAGCTCGGCATTTCTAGGGGTTGGCCGTGCTCGTGTCTCGGGCTGAGAAATCGAATCTAGTTGCACCCTTCTGCAGCCGGCAAAGTTACAGGACACTCCCTAGCTGGCCTCCCCTCGGTCGGGCCTACCCTCTAGCTGGCCTACTCTACGCGTCAGCCAGCCCACCCCCCGATCGTTACATTCGGTCTGGCAACTTCCGATCATAGACGGTGGTTGCAACGTGCTCGGCCACATCCGTTCGCCTCGCGGCGTATCCTTGTTGCCAGCCATTATTTATGGCTCGTGCAAAATTCGACGTCTGTTGAAAAATGGTTTAATGGTCCCGAGCTGCAAATTTATGATAGCTCATTAGTTTGGTCCAAATATGCCACCAAATCGTTGGCTGTACCTAGTTTGCCCCCCTCCCCCCTCCGCCCTACTTCCGCTTGTTCTTCTTGCCAATGGCGGCCAAGGGCGTTGCACCAATCGCCGTCGAGCGAAGCTTTCAAGCTTTAAGTGCCGTTAGACGCAAAGCTTCTGCATAGATTTTCGCATGACCGGGTATTCTACTTTTCGGATCAACTGTGTAACACATCGCAGATAAAATATAAGACCCATTTTCTTTTTTTTATAAATTGTATTTTGAATATTTTGGTTAGCAACAAAACACGAGCATAGATCTTATGTCAATATTATAAGTATCATCTAAAAGTATACAATAGATCGATTTTGATCAATATTTCAAAAGTTTCCTTAACGATAATCAACATGCATAAATAGTTTTAATGAGATTAGATTAGATTAGATCATAATATTAACAAAACATATTTCCCAACACGCATTATATAAATCGAGAGATAACTGTTTTCTTATATTTGTTTTTCCAAAAGTCCATCGATCGCGTCGGCGTGCCCAAGATCATTGAGATGACACTGGACGCGCTGAGTCCGCTGAACAAGATTCATGTTAGCTTCGATATCGATGCCCTGGACAGCAATGTGGCGCCCAGCACGGGCACTGCAGTCCGCGGCGGCCTAACGCTCCGTGAGGGCATCAGCATTGTGGAGGCGTTGCGGGACACAAAGCGTGTGCAGGGCATGGACCTGGTCGAGATCAATCCGAAGCTGGGCAGCGAGCGCGATGTGCGCACCACCGTCGACTCCGGCTTGGAGATACTCAAAAGCATGTTCGGCTATAGGCGTTCAGGTGCGCGCTACTACAGCAACCTGGACACGGGCATACTGGGAGGTGAACAGTGATCGCTATGTGCATAGATCTAAATATTTATATATATATATATATATGTCATATATATAAATATATATATATATGTAACATTTATGTATATTTTGTATGTACAGGTCTTTGCATATTTGTGTGTATGTGTGTTTTTTTTTTTTGGCTTAATATTATTAATTATGTTTAAACAGCAAATGTATAAATTTAATTTGTAGCATTATAATAAAAAAGAATTGTGAAATTTATTGAACGGAGATTAGGTTTGGCCTCTTGTGGCCCGAGGCCAGCGCTAGATACCAGACTTGGGCGCCGCCGTTGGCAGATAAGCGGAAATATCAACATTTGCCATCAGATTGGCGGTGCTGAGCAGCTCGTTAACCGGAGCCGTGGGCGCCGCCGATGCCCGTACACTGGCCACGCTGACTGTGGGCGGCGCCCCGGGCAGCCGTTGGTAAAGCTGCGGCGCAAAGAAGCGCAGCAGGCGACGCTGTAGGCCCAACAGCAGCGCATTCACAGCACCGGATATAACTATAATGCCCGATATAATCGAGCAGAGCCGTATGACAAAGGTCAGCAAATAGTCGCGATCGTGGCTGACAACGATCTTCAAAGCGGACCAATCGTATTTGAAGTAAATGCCCGGTAAGCCGTACGAATTGCGCTCCGAATCTGTAGGACATAGAAAAGTTCAGTTTAATAATAATCAAAGCGCAGATGCAGCAGCTGCAGGAACTTGCCTAGCTTACGCACGTTCTCAGTGACGGCATATTGGAATGTGCTTATTGTGGTAAACGTATGCTGGATCTCCGTCGGCACCACCTTGAGGAAATACTGCACCGTGGTCGCTTCCTCGCGTATTATGGTCTCATCGCCCTCCAGCGGCTGTACAATGCGACGCGAATACTGGCCAAAGCTCAGACGGTTGATGCGATGCGTAAAGTTTGCCGGCATCCGGCGAAACTCAATCATCCAGTGATCCTCGAACATGCCAACTACGGGCTGTGCGCCGCCCACTAAATGGAGAACACCGGCGACCTTATTAATGCCCAGCGTGCCGTGCAGCCGACATGCATCGTATTTGGACTCCAGCTGTGGCATTTGTTGTGGCTGCTGCAGTGCACCCGGCGGCGGAGGTGCAGCAGCAGCAGCAGCTGCAGCCGTCGCAGCATGTGTTTCGCTCTCCTTTGTGGGTGTCCGTTCGCGCAGTATATCCTTGAAGAGTATGTCCGCCACAGAGTGATATTCTTCGCGCAGATAGTGATTGGTCATCTGCATGGACTTAAAGTGACGGCGATCCGCATCCGACATTTGCCACCAGACGCCCTCGCGTTGCAGTGTGCCATACGCAAAAACATCCTGCTGCGTCTCATCCATCAGATCAACGCCGGACAGCGAGGCGCAGGGCATGGCCACCGTTATATCCAGATGCATCTGCACCTGCTCATCCAGCGCCATGTCCGGCTCAAATTGATAAATGATTTCCGTCTCGTTCCAGTAATAACGCAGCTCCGTATAGACGAGATACACGATCAGCAGCCGGCTCAGCAGCGAGACTATGTGAGAAATGCGATTAGGTTAACATTGACAGAGAGAGAGAGAGAGAGAGAGAGATTGAGAGATGCAAATTTGGATGCTCACGTGTGCCGCCGATCTCCGTGGTCTCCGTGTACTTCTCAGGCACCTTTTTGAAGGCATCGAGATTCTTGGCAAACTCCAGCAAATTGCTCTTGTCGCCGCGGTAACGTAACGTGGCAGTCATTGCTCCCAGTGGCAATTAAATTCGACACAGTCCAGTTTATAATTATTGTAAATTAGCTAAGAATTGTTAATTGTTGCCCATTAACGGCGACATCATCGTCATTGCCACGTACTCCCACGTTGCTGGCGGACCTGCCCCTTAGCCAGTCCCCTTGCGTGCAGCGTACGTTTTCACTTCAATTATAATAACGCTAATGCGCAATTGTCAACAGCTACTATTTTGATTGCAATCGTTAATAAATAAATGCACTTTGCGGCTAAATATTAATATGTGTCGCAAAGTTAATACCGTTGCCGGCTAGATTGTTGATATTCTAGCGATATATCGATAGACGATGTTTTTGCGTGCGATGTGTTATCGTTGTGCATTTGGCAGTTGCTGGCGTTGCCAACTATTTTTGGGGAAAATAAAATTGATACGGTTTTAGTACATGTGGCATGTAATTCAGTTGTCTTGAAAACGTTTTTATTTAATTATTTGCAACCAAATTTAATTGGAATGAATCAAGCGTGATTTCTTTTTGGTTTTTCATAATTTAACCTACGAAAAATCCAATTTTCATTTCTTCATAAATGACAATCTAATAACTAATAACTGTCGGATTCCAACTGGAAGCTATGTTTTTCCCACAAGATATGAGAAATAAATGAATAAATTAATGAATGAAAAAGCATTCTTTAAAATAAGATCTGTTTTTGCAAGCAGACAAGTGCTTTACATTAAATATGAATATTCGTGTTAATAATAATTGTAGCAATGCAAACATAATTTGAATTGTTTAACACAAGTGAACGTTATGAATATATCGATAACAGAGTTCCCTTGACCTGCGCACCTTTGGCGCCATGCCGCAAACAGTTGGCAACGCCAACAGCAAATGTATAGTATCGAATCGATAAATTGAATAACACTGTTGATCAGCCAGTTTCAAGTTGAGAGTTTCGCATCATTTGCAAACCCAGCTTAGCAGTCGTGGTGCGCGTTCCAATCGCAAAACAATTGTGCATAAACAAAAGCATAAACCAGCAGCAGCAGCAACAACAACAACAACAACAACCGCAACTGGGCGAGCAAAACAAGTTTTGGTAATTAGCATGCACATATATTGAATTTTATCGTTAACGTTTGGGTTATTTTTGAGCGCATGATTTGCTGTCGCCAGCTAAATAAATAACTATTTTGAACAATTTATATGCTACTCTCATTGCCAGCTTCGCCGCCAGCCATACACCCACTTTATAGTATATAGTATATGTACTATATATAGAAAATCGTTAAACAGCGACTGTGACGATGGCTTTTGGTGCAAAGTGCGCAATTGCTGCCGTCGCCGTATTTGCGCTTCTGCTGACGCATGAGGGGGTTGTGGATGCCCGCCGTAACCAGGGCAGCAACCAGCGCAAAAGCTCATCCAGCAGCAACTCCGGCCATGTGACTCAGCCCAGCTACAACACCAACAACAACAACAACAATGGAGGCAGCAACTCCCACGCCGATGTGGCCAAATTGAGCTATCCCAATTACAACTCGCAGCCGAATCGTCCGGCCAGTAATCCGGCCAATAGCCCGCCCGCCGCTGGCTGGAATGTACCACAGGGCCCACCGCCCGCCTACTCCGCCTCGAATCCGGCGGGTGGCAGCCATACCAACATGCATGAGCCCCCACCGGCCTATCATGCACCCAACTATGGCGCCGCACCCGGCGCAAATGTACACCAGCCGATAACAGCAACGCAGAATCATGGACAGCAATATGCTGGCGCCCAACCCGCTGGCGCTTATAATCCAGCTGGCAATTATATGCCAGGAGGCGGCTATCAACCGGGTGGCAGCTACTATCCAGGACAGGGCGGCTATCATCCGGCTGCAGCACCGCCACCAGGCGCCACATACTATCAGGCTGGCTCAGCTCTACCGCCGGGCGCCACCTACTACGCCCAGCCGCCGCAACAATCTTCCTCCGGCCTGGGCTTCGGTAAGCCAATTGAATATATCTATTTTTTGTTTGTACCGCAAGTAATGCCAAATTTTTCATCTAGGCACCGGCCTGATCGCGGGTGGCCTCGGCGGCGCTTTACTTGGTCATGCGCTGACACCATCGGGCGGTTCCTCGCAGCCAGCGGCTGCTGCACCAGCTGCAGCTGGTGGACAGGATCGCATCATTATTATCAACAATGGTGTGCCGGTGAATGCCAGCGATGGCACCACTGTCATCAATGCTGCTCCAGTGAATGGCACCCAAATGGCTGCCGATGCTGCGCCCGCACAGCTGGCACCATTTTCGCCCGAAGGCGTCAACATGACCATGGCCAATGGCACCGATGCGTCTGGAGCAGCAGCAGCACCAGCCGCGCCGGGCAACATTATATGCGTGCCGCACAAGGTCAACGAAACGGATCCGGCCGACAGCAGCAAAATGATTGAAGTGGAGAAAATTGCTTGTTATCCGGCTCCACCGCCGCCAGCCGCCGCACCCGGCGCTGAGCCCGTACCGTTGGCACCTATGGCACCGCCCATGGCCACCAGCCAGGCGCCACCAGCCATGCTGGCACCCGACCAGGCAGCCGTGCGCTCCAATACCAGCGCTGGCAATCAGCTGCAGGCCGCCTGGCCCCTGCTGGCCGCCCTCTTGGGCGGTCTGCTGCTGCGCTTTGCGGCTGCCGCCGGCAACTAGAAACGTCGCGAATGTTTCCAATTATTGCTTTGCACCATTTACTCGCGCCAGGCCACACAGCTAAAATAATCAAAACCCAAGCAACGCCCCCAACAAGCTCGCATCTGCAGCGTATTTTTGTATTATTCATTTTTTCCTGTTTGAAAATTATGCATTGTTAACTAGTATTTGTCCGTAGAGTATTCCTAAATTCTTATTTCTAATTTGTAGATAACTTTGCTTGATTATTAGTCGCTGATCAATTATGGTGTCGATGACGATGAGGCAGCTAATCCCGCCAGCTGCGATATATCAAAACTGTGAATCTCGTAAAAATGTTAAATGTTATTGCTTCTAGCATAGAAAAGCCGCGAACATTCCCTTTTAAAGGGAGCTAATGCACCTTCCCCCCCAATCCAACTCGATTCCTCTCGAGCACTTTTTAAAAGACATCTCTCAGTGTATAACGTATATAGTGTGTAGTAATTGTTGCCTAAGTATTATGAAGATGCTTTAAATCAGTTGCAATATATTTGTAGGCACTTTTTGTATTTGCTTCTTGTATGTTGTTTATTGTCTCGTTTTGTTTAAATAATTGTTTGTTTTCTATGTTTTTTTGTCAATTGATTCAATAAAAGCTTTAACATCACGCCGCACTCCAAGCTCCAAGCTCGTCTTTTTCTACCGTAGCAGCAACGACAATGATTCATCAATTATCGGGCCTAGCCGATCCAGCAATATCTCTCTCTCTCTCTCTCTCTCTCTCTGCCATATTAGTCTGCACCCAGCAAAACTTTCACTTGATTAGCAAAGCTGCAGCTTGCCAAGGCCCAACTGAGTTGAGGCCCTCTTTCACGCTGTGGCAACTAAGTATTTGGATCAACAACAGACACAAAGCGATATTTAACCAATTAATTGGCAAGCGTCGGGGTTTTTCCCCCAGCTGCGAGCCGAGCTTCCGAGAATCTGTGCATTGCAATCAACTGTCACAAAAATACATATTAATAATAGCGTAGTTATCTAATCACGAGCCAAGCGCTTGCAATTGCTCAAATTGTGCTCAATATAGGCATGGCATATGGTTAGAAGCTATAAATCTGGTTCCCCCGAGTCGATCTAGCCCTGAACACCTGTCTGTCTGTCTGTCTGACTAGCTAGAGATATTAAATTTCGAATATAGTATACACTCTGGTATACCCTTATACAGCACGGGCTTATGTCTTTTTGAATATCTCCCAATTTCGATATATAGATTTTGAGACTAAGTTTAACTCGAGCATTATAAGCGCTAGCTGCACCAAACATGGCATGTGGGTATGGGTATAGCATATATAGATCGGGAATATTTTACTCTTTGGATAGCTCCACTTATTCCCCTGTGAAATTGAAAAGAAAGGGACTGATGGCCCGAATGCTTGTAACGGCAGCTAGACGCTAGCTTCAGGGCATCTCCTGGTCGGCCAGTCTATTCTAGGCTTTCGGCCAGGACAATGCCACATCCATACACTAGCCAAGGATTCGCAACCGGAAACTCGTTAGCTCAAAACTTATATCTTTACTTAGACGGCAGTACAAGACTGAAAATACAATTCCAAAGCCAAAGTTTATAAACTTACTTTTGCGCTTTTCTCAGTAGTCGGATGCATAAATAACATTTAGGCATTCCTAATGGAAGCTAAGACAAGCTTACAACTGGCAAGGAAGAGGGTTTACAAGTGGAGTTTACAAAATGGTTGTGTCCTGGCAAAGCCTATCGAACAAAAGAAAAAATCGTTTTTTAGTTAAAGTTTATACAACTTTATTATTATTTTTTAAAGGTAAACCATGTGTTTGTCTTCGATTAAAAACAGAGCTTGTACAAAATTTGATGGTTTTATCTTTGATTGATCTTTACTCCGCGTCATCATCCTCGTCATCGTTGGAGCTAATTCTGAAGTAGCGCAGCTCGTACGAGTCCTTCTCGTTGGCAACCACACGGATCCAATCGCGCAGGCTGTTCTTCTTCAGGTACTTCTTGGTCAAGTACTTGAGGTAGGCCTTCGAGAAGTGCACATCAGAGCTGACATGGAGCTTCATCTTGGAGCGCTCAAAGGTGACATTGTTGCCCAGATTGTTCACCTTGCCGTTGACCTTAAGGCGAGCCTTCACGTATTTCTCCTGCGAAGCCAAAAGACATTTTATCAATTAGAAGAGTATGCCAATGCTGCATGTATATATGTATATCTATGCACAGTGTAGTGCTGTCTCTGTCTTTGTTAAGGCCAAAAGTCAAATGGAATTGCGAACAAAAGGCCCAAATAAAGAAGAGTGACCAATTTTTTAATATGCCACTGAGTACACTGCCATCAGAGCGACACGGCCAAAAGGCCTTCACTCTCTGACGGCAAATCGGCGTGGCCTAAAATAACAATATATATATAAACATAAATATTTAGATGGATGCGAGTATGGCTTACAGCTGTAGTATTACCTGTTCCGTAGTAGCGGCGGCGACAACAACATTGCGAGCTGGGGAATTGGGGGGGGGGGGGGGGGGGGGGGGGGGTTGAGTTTTGGGGCTGGCGCCCTGCTATATTAGCATAGACAAGAAAAGGTTTCCCCTTCGAATTGGCTTTAAGATTTGTTTGTTTGCTTCGTGGAGAAACCTGCAGCGTGACAGAGTAACAATTGTACACGCCTGTAGCAGGGCGCACTATGAATTTTGGCTCGACGCAACACGGATGTGACACGTACAACCCAGGGCCCACCACGTGGCGGTACACATAGCACGACTTGACGCTGTTCACAGACGGTTGCACCAACTGGCCAGACCCGGTACTGGCGATCAGTGGCTACCCCGTTGTGCAGTGTCCAGAGCCCCTTTGTCAGCTGCGCGCGTGAAGCGCGACAAAAAAAGGTTTTGACAAAAAAAAAAAAAATGTATATATGTATGAAATGATATGCAAAAGCCATCATTTGGACAATCGATAAACATATATCGATAGTTTCATTTTGTAGAGCAACAGCATGACAATTGGCCACAGTGACGTGCAGAGACATGTTTGATTTCCAGTGTTCCAGCAGTTGTTAACCGCACGTGCAGACTTAAGTGTTTGACAACGTTCAGTTTAATCGCTATTGAAATACTTTGATATAACCACAACTTTTTATCCAGAGCCTCTGGCTGTTTGCGGCAATGAAAAGCTTGGTGTGGTATCATAGACGCTCTGACGTCACTGTTGCTCATTGTCATTGAGGTTATGTTGGATGTTCTGCTCCTGGTGATGCGTGAAGCAGTTGTTGTTTTGGGTTAGAAACATTCGATCGCGGAGGGGGGGAGGTACTTACGAAATCTGCAACATCCATTATGTTATCCTCAGCAATGTTGGTGCAGTCGATGGTGAAACGCAACGAGACCTTCTTCTTCTTCTGGCCCTTACCGCGCAGCACATTCTTCTTTACAACCTTGCTGGGCACTGCCGCTGGTGTGGCAGGCTTGAGCTTGGGCTTGGCTACAGCCGGCTTAGCAGCGGGCTTGGCAGCAGCCGCAGCTGGAACGGCGGCGGCAGCGGCAGCAGCAGCTGGCGCAGCCTTGGCGGCAGCAGGCGCTGCCTTCTTAGCTGGGGGCGCAGCGGCGGCAGTGGTAGCTGCCTTCTTGGTAGCAGCAGGAGCTGCCTTGGCGTCCTTCTTCGGCGCGGCAGCAGCAGCTGCTGGTGCCTTCTTGGCGGCATCCTTAGCAGCGGCGGGCTTGGCGGCAGCTGGCTTAGCAGCAGCAGCGGGCTTGGCTGCGGCGGCGGCCTTAACGTCCTTAGCGGCTTCCGGCGCCTTCTTTACGTTCTTGGCGGCAGCAGCTGCAGGCTTGGCGGCCTCAGCAGCTTTGGGCTTCTCAACCTTGCCCTTAGCCGCGGCTGGCGCAGCCTTCTTTTCGGCTGGCTTAGCAGCCTTGGTATCACCCTTGTTGGTCTTGGCCTGTAAACATTCAATGCGAAGCTTAGATAAAGTTTATGTAAGTTATTTACGCCATCACGTCTTTTAGCACAAATCTCAACGTGTATGCACGCAAAACAGCTCTTTCTTTAATATTTTGCACTTTATTTCCATTATTAGACTGTGATGGCGCAACATTTTTATGATTTTACTTGAGCACTTACAGTTGGAGCCATCCTATTACTCGAAAACCACGGAGGAAAAGAACCAAAACCTAGAGACGTACAAAAGTCATCGATTTTTTACCGATTGTTGACTGTTTTCAGTGCCTGTAAACACTAATTTTTATATTTGGTTATATAGCACTACTCAATTAAAATGGTTGGTATTTTTGTAGTATTTTATGGTATTTTGACAGTAAAAATATACAGTCACACTGAACGCTAATTTTAGCATTTCACGATTTTTGGTCTTCTGGATTGCATTTAGATTGGTCATACTGAAGTGAGCAGCCAGCATAAGTGAACCACAAACGAAAGCGATAGCTAGTTTTTTTTGTTGTTGGTTAAAAGAGTAAAGTGAAAACTGCGTTTCTTATACAATTATTTAACAAGTACAATCATGAAGTTCCAATATAAAGAGGAGCATGCATTTGAGAAGCGTCGCGCCGAAGGGGACAAGATCCGTCGTAAATATCCGGACCGTGTGCCCGTAAGTACATATTTTTTGTATTTAGTTTATTTCTATATATGTATGCGTACTCTATACTGTATATGTTCTGTGTGCGTGTGTGTATTTGAGTTGTTTGTATGTATGCGATTGTTTTGCGTCGTTCTATTTAGTAGTGTGTTGTTGTTGTTATTACTACACACACATGCACACACACACACACAAACTGCGGGGAAAATCAATAATGCGCAAATTGGCTCTAGAAGTAATTGTTAACATTTTAATGACCATTTCTGTGCCTTTAATGGCCAACTACAGCTTTTCGCATATGCTACATGAAAATAAAATTCACTCGTCTGAGTGAACACTTGCAAATCTCGAGTGAAAATCAAACAAATTGACGCACATACACACACACGCAACAACGGGCTTTGTTCAGTTTGTGTGCGTGTGTGTGAGAGAGCGAGCTGCTAGCTGACTCGCTTGCTCAGCTGTTGTGCTGTTGTTGTTTTTCATTCGGCTGGTGTTGTCTCTCCCCCTTCTCCTACACACACACACACACACACAGCGTCAGCCCCCTCCCTATCAAAGCACACGGCCAACCAGTTGTTTTTTTTTGATTTTATATCAAAAACATTTTTTGTTTGTTGACTTGCAAAAACGCATGCCCAGACAGCTTCAAAACTGCGCATAAAAAAAATAAAAACAAAACTCAGCCGTTCGTTCGCACACACAAACACGAAGTCCATGATTTTTGTCAAATTTCAAAAATTCTTGTTTTGTTTTTCCGTTTGCATTGAGTCCACAATTAGTCATACTGATTTGTTCTCTTTGTTTTTTTTTTTGCCTATTTCACCATATGCAGTTGTTGCTGCGCGTAAGCACACACACACACACACAAAAGCACTCACACCGAAAGCTCACTCTGTCGCCCTCCCCCTCTCCACGTTATCAGCAACCTATTTTCCTTACCTGAAGCTTTACAGGCTGCCGATGCCTGTTTATATGCACCTTTTCCGCCTCCCCGTCACACTCTACACATTTTAAGAATTCTTATTTCTCGTTCTGTATTTATTATTATTCAACAATTTCAACGCTTTGCTTGTTTTGTGTGTTCACACAATTTTGTATTTTGGCAAGCAGCACAACACAAATCACATAACAGCTGACGACAAACCAAATGCAGGCAAGGCCAGCTGGTCGCTGTCTAATTATGTCCATATATATATATATATATGTATATGTATATACTTTAATTATATACATACGTATATACATACATTCATACATACATACATATGCAAAACAATAGTCCACCTTCACCTTGAGCGCGGCCAGTGACACCACACCCCACCACAGCTTCTTTTGGCTACATTGCTTAGCTTCAGTTAACAGCAATGTTAAAGAACATTCACGGTTAACAGCTATTTCTAACATTTGCTATTATCAAATTGTTATATATTGTTATTTTTTTCGCATTCGCCTTGCTACACACAAAAATGCAATTACAGCTACAGTAAATATTTGAGCATGAGTGTGCACCCCCACACACACACACAAACATCCATGTGTGTATCTATACGTGTTGCTTGATTTATCGGTGTGTCGTCACGTAGTCGCGTTTTGGAAGACGCAGTTTATTTCGTTTTCATGCCGTTTTATGTCCATCTCCTGCTCCCTTGCCCACATCTAAACCCTTTGAAAATTAGTCTAAAATGCAATATTGCTTTTTGCTAGAAGAAGGCAGTTTCAACCTGCTGATGTATATATATGTATATATATACATATATTTATATTATATATTCAGCGTCAACAGTCGAGTCGACTCTGCGTCTGTTTGTGCAGGCTCAGTCTCAAGGACTAGAGATTTTAAGATTTTGTTCTCATTTTAAAACTGTCGATAACTATTCCGTCCCGATGACTGCCCGTCAGCTTGCCTGTTTGTTTGTTCATACATTCCCCTCGGGAACTGTAGCTCGAGATTAGAAATTGGAAATATATGTTCTTATTTACCTAACTGATAACGTTTTATAGCAAATTATCGATAGCTTACGTGAAAAAGATAATAAATCTATGTGCTAGGTTTTCTTTTTGGCATATGTCACTAACCTATCTCTCTTGTTTTTCTTGTACAGGTGATTGTTGAGAAGGCACCAAAGGCGCGCATTGGCGATTTGGACAAAAAGAAGTATCTGGTGCCATCTGATTTGACCGTCGGCCAGTTCTACTTCCTCATACGCAAACGCATCCACCTGCGTCCGGAGGATGCACTCTTCTTCTTCGTCAACAATGTCATTCCTCCAACATCTGCAACAATGGGCTCATTGTACCAGGTAAGAGATGTCTATTCCTTAGCTCGCAAGTCTCCCTTTAATCGTCTCCCTTCCCTTTTTCTGGCTCAGGAGCATCACGAGGAGGATTATTTCCTGTACATAGCCTACTCCGATGAGAATGTCTATGGCATGGACAAATAAATACCGACTGCATCTCTCCAAAGCGGCAGGCGTTTTGAACCCATGCAACAACCTATACAGAAAATTATATATATACATATATTTTACGTTTAGCATGCAATTGAAAAAAACGCGAAAAAAAACACACAAAAAAAAGATAGCTAAACAAATTGTGCAGGTCTAAGGCGGTAAAATATTGAAAAACAAAAAAAAAAAAACAACAAAACAAAACAAACAAAAACAACTTAAAAAGATCTTAAAAAAATGAAAACAAAAAAAGAATTGTAAGACAAAAACAAATGTTATGTGAAAATTATTTTATATAAAACATTTTCTATACGCGCTAGTATTTCAAATTACCTATGCTTTAACAATTTTCACTTGGCACCGTTTTGTTCAGTTTAACTTCCTGCTTTACTTGTGTACCGTGCAATTTATATCATTTTGTAAGGTACTTTACCTTCTTTCCTGATTTTTTTTTTCTTTCTTTTGTGTAATAATAATACAACAAAATTTTGTGCATATTTAGTGTGTATGGTTACGAATAGGACTCTCTTGGTTAAGCGTACAGTAATTAATCTACTATTAATTAAATAAATAAAAACAAAAAAAAAAAAAGAAATAGAAAACTTGACTTGTCGTAAAACGAAAGAGACAACACAATTTGGCAGTTGCATCAGCCGTTATTTGTCTTTATCGGGAGAAGGGGAACAAAGGTTTGCCAGTTAAGGTCATATAAAAAACATTTTAAATCTCATCTTTTTGTTTAAACCAAGTTCAAGTGTTGATTTCGATAAATTTGTCAACGTTTAAAATCGATAACATAGTGGCAGCCAAAATGAGTTAGCAGCGCTGCTTTTTAAATTATCGTTAGCAGTCTTATGTACATAACATGGTATGTTAGAGTGTTAACAGTTGATTTTAGCATAACGCCTGTATTTGCAATAACAGCACCATTTTGAGTTTTATATTAACATAGACTGTTGTTTAGCCGGAGTTTAGACGTGTGTTTTTTTTATGCAGGCAATAGGTGGGCAGGCTTTGCACATTTATTCATAATTAAGTTATTGTTTTTATGTGAAACGAATCAACGGCACCAGTGCAAACGAGTTGCTGACCAAATAATAGGTGTTCGCGTATTTGCAATACGAAAATAAAACACAAATCAGGTAAAATAAAAAAAAAAAAACAGTAAAAAACGATGTTTTCCAGTTTACAAGGCGACGACGGCTCGTTACAAAACAGGCGCCGTTGCGGCCTGAGTGCAGAATTGTTTGTTGTTTTAATGTTTTCTTGTTGTTGTTGCTGTTGTTGTCAAGTACAGCTTGTGACGAATGAAAAATAGCGCAGTTATACAGTATTATTATTATTAGTATCAGTATTGCTGTTGTCATGGCAAGCGGCTGCAGCGAATGCAATTGATTTTTGTTTAGTGCTGTTTCGTGACGCATTTATTCTTTGTCGTGGCCCTGGCTCTTTGTTGCTGTTGTTATCGTTATTGGTTTCGTTGTCCAATGCCCAGACGACTCTGCGCCATTTGCCACCCCAAAAGAAAAGCGAAACCTAACAGTGATTAACGGCACAACTGCAACAGCGGTAACTGCTGCATGTCAAGGAAGCTTTCACACTTTGGCCACACAGCATTTTTATTCAATTAACATACATACATTAAGTGTACGTATGTATATACGTGTTGTATGGCGTGTTGTACGGCGAGCAACAACAAAACCCAGACAAACAGCTGATTAAGCAGCAGCTACCACTACTACTACCACCCGCCTATTGTATCCGCACAAGCAAACGTGAGTCTGTGTGTGTGCGTATCACGTTATGACGAGCAGAATTAAGTGTGTTAATGTCCACTCTTTGCTGCTGATCAGCATTTTGTTGTTGTTGCTACTGCCACGCTTTACAGAACCCAAACACATACACCTACATATATGCTTAAACGTGCGCGCTCTTAAGTGTGTTTGTGTGTGTGTTGTGTGCTCCGCTTTTGCTGGGAACTATGTGGATTCATTTTATTGGTGCTCAAGTATCGTATGATAATCCATTGTTGTTGTGCTTTTCCCGCGCGCACAAAACTCAGCACACACGTATTTTTTTTTGTTGCGTTGCCAACTAACAGAATAATTGTAGCACACCAGATAGAACTAGCGACATGGTTGCTGTTGCGGCTATTTCGAAACAAAAGGTCAAGAAAAAAGAAACGCTACTTATGTATGTGTGTCACAACGAATATTGAATACTCTTAAGTTATCTTATATGTATGCGCATTTTACAAGTACAATCATAGCTCGTTGTTCTGTGTAAAAACATAAGATCAAATTTGTTCAATTAATTTATCAAATTAACAAATTATGCGCTGCTGCGCAAAAATCAGCAATACACGATACGACAAGCTTGTCATACAAGTGCAGCATAAATGATCAGCACTTGGCAGCTCTATGGCAACGCCCCTACAACTTAAAAGCAATCAACAGTCTGGCAGCACTAAAAATACAAACAGTCGCACTTTTAAATAATTGAAGCTTAATTTGTGCATGTGCTATTATATTTATTTTCTTGTTTTTATTTAATTTGCTTATCGTTTAGTAGCTGCTCGAAGACACAGCAAGGCGCTTAAATGTCACAACACAACAAAAAGGACACAGGCAGCCATGCGAATAGCACACGCCAGCGCAAACAGGACGACAGCAATAGCAACAGCAACAGCAACAGCAACAAAAGCCAAAAGAAACAGCAGACGCCCAATGGTAGCGCCAAGGGCAACAGCAACAGCAGCAACACCTCACTTACAGTTAGTAATAGCAGTAGCAGCACTAGCAGCAGCAGTAGAAGCAGCAGCAGCAGCGCTGCCAAGATGCAAACGCTCGCAGCGACACACACGAAGCCCAACAGCGGCGGCGGCGGCAGCAGCAACAAGACTCAGCTAAGCAAAAAGGATAAACAGCAAAAAGACAAAGAGCGCATGGAACGCGCACAGCTGGTGCTCTGGCGTCATCCAATGCAGACGTCCAAATACTGTGCATTCGAACTGATTGCACTGCTGCGCACCTGGAGCAGCAGGTGAGTGCACAATGAAACCAATTATATACAATAAACTCCGAATTTAACTCTTCCTCTCTCTCGCTCGCTCTCTTTCTCTTTTTCCTCTTGCAGATTACTGAAGCAACGCGGCCTGTTGGCCGTTTTAATAGTATTAGGCATTTTATTTAGCATAATTTACAAACTAGATGGGCCACATCAGCTGCTCATTGAGCTGGTGCGTCGCAATACCTGGTTCTTTGTCTACTGGCTCGGTTTGGGCGTTCTCTCATCGGTCGGCCTGGGCACTGGCCTGCACACATTTCTGCTCTATCTGGGCCCGCACATAGCCAGCGTCACATTGGCCGCCTACGAGTGCAATTCACTCGATTTCCCCCAGCCGCCCTATCCCGACGAGTAAGTGCTGCAGTGAATGCTCGCTCAATATATATTTGAATGTAACCCGTGCTCTTTTTAATTGTCAGCATCATTTGTCCGGAGGAGCCGTATATGAAGCGCATGCCCAATATTTGGTCCATCATGTCAAAGGTGCGCCTGGAGGCGTTCCTTTGGGGCGCTGGCACTGCGTTGGGCGAACTGCCGCCATATTTTATGGCCAAGGCAGCACGTCTGTCCGGCTATGATCCGGACGATGCCGAGGAGCTGGCCGACTTTGAGGCGCTCAATGCCAAGCGTCATCAGAAGAACCTCAGTCTCATGGACAAGGGCAAGCTGTTCATGGAGCGTGTCGTCGAGCGTGTTGGCTTCTTTGGCATATTGGCCTGTGCAAGCGTATGTGTCTGCATCTACTCTACCGATATTGTTGTTGCTTCATTTTGTTATTTTGATACCCAGATACCCAATCCGCTGTTCGATTTGGCCGGCATCACCTGCGGCCACTTTCTGGTGCCATTCTGGACATTCTTTGGCGCCACACTGATAGGCAAGGCCATCATCAAGATGCACATACAGAAGATATTTGTGATTATCGCATTCAATGAGACGCTCATCGAGCGGGCCGTCGATCTGATTGCCACGATGCCAATATTTGGTCGCAAGCTACAACAGCCGTTCAAGGCATTCCTCGAGAATCAGAAGCAGCGACTGCACCGACAGCAGCGCGGACGCAACGCTAACGCCGCCGCCGGTTCTGATTCGGGTAATCTGATATCAAAAATCTTTGAGACCTTTGTCATTGGCATGGTCTGCTATTTCGTGGTGTCCATTGTCAACTCCCTGGCCCAGAGCTATCACAAGCGGCTGCACAAGAAGCCGCGCCATGTGCCGCCGGCTGCCACGCCCAGCGCCAGCATAAGGAAGCATAACAAGCCAAAGGCGCTGCGTGATTAGGTGCCTGCCCACAAGAATCCTACGGCTGTTGTCTCCCCTATGCTAAATTCTTTGTTAATAGTTTTTTTTTCCATTGCTTCTAATTCCCTTCTTTTTTTTGTTTTTTTTTTTGGTCGATAGTCGTCGGATTTTTATTATGCAATTAATTTTTTTTTTTTTGTTTTTGTTAGTCAAATTCCAGCGGCATTTTCAGAGTTTCACTTGTGCTAAAAAAAAAAAATGTGTGTTATATCATATTTCCTTTGTTCTGGCAATTGGAGGGCATCTGCCAAGTGGAATTCCAAAATGGAACCGTAAAAAATTTTAAATGATATTTTGTACAAGTATTTCGAATGTATGTGAAGGAGTGAAAGAGATGGCAATGGCGCCGTCAGGGCAGCCACTTGAAATGACCGTAGTAGAGATACCCTAGAATAGACTAGTTAAAAAGGAAAAACCGATAAACAGAATAACAGAAAAACACAAGTGAAAAGGCAACTAAAAACAAGCATGTTTAATGTTAATAATAATAAAAAGAAAACAAAAAAAAAAACTGGTCATTCAGTTGCCTTTTTTATGCCCTTGTTTATTTGTTATTATTCCGAATTTCCATTTTTGTGCGTTTCGCAATAACGAACGCAAATTGTTGTGCTTCAAGATAAACAAAGACATTGAAAACAAAATAGAAAATAGAAAATTGAAACTAAACTCTAAATACTGAAAAATAAACGAAATTACAAATATGTAAAGTAAACATTCTGTATTGCGGTTGCGCTTGATGAGCCCAAGTTTGGGCATTTGTTTGCGTATGCCTAATGATGGATGACCCAAAGACCACAAATGTGTTTAGCTACAGTTTCTCATGCCAGCTAGCATACAGTTATTCGAGAATC